ATCGGCCGTCTGTTTGCTTTGGTTCGGAACGGTGGTTTGGAGGAGGAGCATTCAGTCTCATGGGCCTTCGTCCACAACCTGCTGGTCCGTAGGAGGATTATTGTCACGGTCCTCGTGGCTGGGCGCTGCATCTTCAACCTCCCCACCACCAGATCGGTCGAGCTAGACGGGGACCTAGCTGCCATGACTCTGGCTGGCTGTTGGTTGTGCTCGATCGGATCGGTCGAGCTAGACGACGGCTGGCTCGATCTCTCAACAAGCCCTTCTGGATGCCTTTGTGTGTTGTGATGGATGGGTAGGTAATGGAGCTTTGTGCCCTTGTGGTGAGGTGATGGTTCGCCAGTTATTTTATGGTTATAATGGTGAACGGCCTGATGGGACGGACTGGTAGGAGCAGAACGGACGATTGTCACTAACTGGACGAGAACGTCAACGGACTGGTAGACTATAATAATTGGTTACATCGATTGGCTTTGTCAAAAAAAAACAGCAACTTTGAATTGATTGGTTGTGAAGTGAATTTGCCAAAGGGTAGAAGGCGTCACCAGTTTTGAATTAATTTCCTTCGAAGCTTCCGCTGTTCACTTCTCAGCAATTCTATATGCATGCAGTAGCTAACTAACTCAGTTGGATTTTTTTTTAACAAGTCAGCTGGGGAGCCCCTACCTATTTCTTTTTTTTTCATTTTCATATAAGGTAATGTACAAAATATACAGATTGATGCTCTGAGGACAGCGATGCATGAGGCGGCGGCTGACCTTACCTCCGGCGATCAAGGCAAAGCTAAGGCCTCGGCTGCCCTCATCGAGCGTCATCAAGGACAGCCTCTTGGACGCGGATTACACAAGTGCAAGGGCAGAACTATCTGCAATTGTGGAATCCGTGCCAGATCCTTTTGCAGCTCCTGCAGAGGTTTGGAGTCCATCCACACCAGAGCTTATCGCAGTGGCGGCGGAGGTCGGCTTCTCTACACAGGATCTACTCCAAGCTGAACATGAACTCAACGAAGGTACTCTGATAAGTGCTACGTCTTCTTCTGGATGTACACCGCCGTTGGCGAAACGTATCATATCTGCGCTGGTGCAACATCGCGTGAAGCCTACTCCATGGCGAGGTCAGTTGCCGCCTCCAAGGGTTTCTCCCCCACGGACTCTTGGAGACGCACTGGAGGTTGCTTGGAGAAGCAAATCCTCACCTTGTAGAAGTGGCTCTCGTCATTCATCAACGCTGGCGTTGCTAGCCGGAGCTACCAGTACGTCAGAATATTCTGGTTCACGCGTGATCTCGAAATTACCATCCGTTGTCAGTTTCGGCAACACGGACGGTGTGCTGAGAATTACGCTGGGAAATTCAAAATCAAATTTGGAACAGAGTCTGGGCCGAGATTTGGTATGTATTGGGCCTGGGAAGTGGTACCGGCCTATGAAGGGTCTGATTGATCTCTTCTCACGCACTGGAACCAGAATACGGTAGCCTAATTCCAGCCGCCAATCATATACTCACCCATCTCGTTCTTACGCCGACGTCGTGCGTTCGTTCCGTCCTCCGGCAATGGCTGGACGCGGCGGACATCCACTTGGTGCCCAACCGGCATTGAACCAAAACCAGCAGCCACACCATGCTCCACCGGCAACTCACCAGCAGGCGGCGTACTCTCAGGGCTACCACGGTGGCCAATCCCAATGTTTTAATCCCGGTTTTAACCCGGGGTTTAATCCGGGGTACGGTGGCCGTGGTGGTGGCTATCAAGCCGGTGGTTTCCAGTATGGCGATTTTAGTGGCCGAGGATACAATGCGCACCATGGAGGTTTTGGTGGCGGTCGCTGGGGGAGGAGAGGCCGTGGAGGTTTCGGTGGTGGCTATGGCAGCCACGGCTATGGCAACAACAACGCTTCTGGCTTCGGCGGTGGCCGTGGCTATCAAGGAGGCTTCGACGCGTACGAGGCTACATCAATGGGCTCTGGCCATGCTGGTACTAGCAACGTTGTTGGGCACGGGGCTGCACCAACCCAACCCTAGCAAGTTCAACATGAGGCGACGGCCAAGGCTAATTTGCTCCCAGGTACTAGCACAGGGGTTACAGGTTCTGGTATTATTCAAGCAAAGGAAAATGCAGGAGACGGGGTATTTGAAAATGCAGATGTTGCAGCTATGCAAATTGACAATGAATCAGGTGCTATTGCTCCAAAGAAAGGGAGTGGAAAGAATAAACCCTTTTGCTTTCGTTGCCTAACTAAAGGGCACATAATGAATGACTGCAAAACACCAATCTGCTGTGGCATGTGTGATAGTGATACCCACATCACCAAAGCTTGCCCTTCCATGAAGGGTGCAAAACCTACAGCAAAGCTATGTGGTTATGCAGTTCCAGGTTTGGGTTTTTATTATATACCTTTTTCAGGTAACCAAAAGGCAAAAATTGAGCCTACAGAAGCAATAGTGAAGGTCTCTGATGTGAAACAAGTCACAGTAGAGCTTGAGAGACTCGTACCAGGCTGAAAATGGGTTGTGGAAGAAATTAATAAAAACTCCTTTGCCACAACTTTTCCATCTAGTGCTGAGTTAAAACGGATGGATGAATGGGGTCCTGTGGAAGCAAGGAGTGCAAAAGCAAAATTGACTATTTCAAAGAAAAAAGATGCAGAGGTGTACAAGTATGAAATTCCTAAAGTTTGGGTACAGTTCCGCGGTCTCCCGAGCGACTTACGGAATTTTTGTATCATCTAGGTTGTGGGTACTATTCTTGGTGCCACAAAGATGGTGGACGTGAAATTTACCAAACGATTTGGAAGACCAAGGCTGAGAGTTGGTGTACTAAGTCCAGAACTAATTCCGGATTTAGTTGACGTTGTAATCGGAGAATTTGTATATGAACTCCAATTCAGGCTAGAAACAGAAGAGGAGGAAAATGACCCAAGACTAATTGACATGGATAATCAGCCGGGTGAATCCGGCAAAAAAGATGATGGTTTGGACAAACTCAACAAAGATTCAGGACCTAATACTAAGGAATTTGGACTCCAACAAGGAGAACACAAAGAAAGATAAGAAAGATGGAGTTCTTCTGCTCCACCTGCAGCAAAAAATTCAAACAAAGGGACACTGGCTGCTATTCTATCACGGCCCATTTTGGAGCCGAAGTCGACCGGGTTATCTGACTCGACCAAGGCTTGGGTAGTTAAATCCTTTCATGGGCCTTTAAATTTAGAACCCCCTGCACAAACCCCTGCTGAGAATACCATGCCTACCTGTAGGAGCAAGCGTAATGTGGCGATAGGCGACCAAGACTCAACTGAGAGAGCGGCCAAGCTAAAGGCACGCAAAAATTTGGAGGAACCTAATAATTCAGGTAACATTTTAAATGCATCTTTTCTTTCATTCTCTAAAGATGTAGTTGCTCATAACATCAGTAAGATGGGGGTTTTATTAGGTTCAGATGATACTAGTGTTACTAAATCGATTAACAACCTTAAACATGTGGAAAGAAGCAGACTGCATGTGTTGTCTAAACAAAAGGAACTACATGCTAGTAGCAAACAATTGGATTATAACTTAACAGATTCGGAGGATGAACTTGATCTCTTAGCTATTAACCAGCTTTGCGGTGAGATAGCCGAGGGTATGACTGAAGGGGAAGCCAGTGATCTATATGATCTACAGCTGGTGCCCCGAAAAAATAAATCAAGTTCAAAAAAGAAAAAGAAATTAGGCAAGAGAAAAATCAAAAGAGAACCTTTAGTTTAACCAATGAAGGGCATATTTTGGAATTATAATGGGTTAGGTGACCCAAAAAAACATAGATTTGTGTCTGATTTGGTGCAGGAAAAGGAGCTAGGTTTTGTTGCTTTACCAGAGACCGGTAGGAGAGACTACGTTTTTATCTAGTTTATAAAAAATTACATAAACATCCACAATATCAACCAATGTTCATTGGATACATCATACATCATGAAGTAAATTTTGGTATGCGTTTATTTGATATATATTGTGCTCCCACCATTCCAAATTATAAGATATTTTGGCTTTTCTAGATACGTAGGTTTTCCTATGTACTTAGATATATAGTATGCTAGATACATAGCAAAAGCAATATATCTAGAAAAGTAAAAAAGTTTTACAATTTGGAACTGAGAGAGTAGATGATAATATTTACTTTTCAAAAAATATGGTCAAAGTTAGACAAGTTTAATTTGGAACAAAACTAAACGATTTACAATATGAACTGAAGGGCGTAATATTCTAGAAAGATTCTTAGATATAAGAGGGGTAGGTATTTTTCTTCATACCATGAAACTCTACCATTAGATATTAGAGTAATTTCTTTTATATATATATATATATATATGGTCATATAGTCTAATACCTGATCTCCCCTCGATATAGAAGCTTATATAGCTATTACTACGTCGGTAAAACTATTTGAAATGCCGATGCTGGTGGTCTTATTTTCCATTTTATCTCTTCTCCTTTATTTATTCTTCATGCTACTTATTGCTGGATAAGTTTTTATATTAAGTAGGACAACACAGTGTACTTTGCATTTCATCCACATTGATTCACTAATGGGGCAGATTTCGAACGAGAAATTTGACACTTATATGCATGGCTTTTACAAATTACTAAACCAAATGCTCAACATGAATACATTAATTAACTATTACTGAAAATTCCGGCTTGATTGACTGCCAAACACTCAGACCAGGATCAGACAATTTAGTCTGATCTCCAGGTTTAGTACAAAAAAATGAAAGAAAAAACAGCCGCCTCAATCTTCTTTCCTATAGTACAACTCAAGAATCAAGAAGCAACAGCATGGATGATTCCACCACGGCCGCCGGCGCCTTCTGCCGGGGGACCAGGCGGCGCGGGCCCTCGCATAAGCACACGCGCCGTCGCCGCCGGCGACCCGGCATGAACTTTTCCGCCGCTGCCTTCCGCAGGGCGGCCTGGTGGAGCAGGTCCTCGCATCACCACGTGCGCGGCCGCGGTCGCCGCCGTCGTCACAGCGTTTGTTCTGCCGCCGCTGCCCAGCGCCGGGGGACCAGGCGGCGTGGGCCGTCGCATAGGCGTAAGGTAACCACGCGCGCTATCGTCGCCATCGCCGGAGCGGCGTGGACTTGTCCGCCGCTGCCTTGCCTCGGCGCGCCGGGACGCCCTTTCGAGGAAGGAGCGGGTGCGGCTCTGCTCGCCGCCCGGAGCCGCGGGGACGCCACCGCAGCCGCATCCACTCCCCGCGGCGCACTCGGCAGACTGATGATTGGAGCTGGGCGACGGAGGGCGGCGACGAGCTGGGACGACGCGTACCGCAGCAGCTGCCGCGGGAGCGGGCTAGTTGGCGCAGACGATGGCGACAACGCCATGGCTGTGCGGTCGTCGGTGATCGGCTTCGGATCGAGTGCAGGGGGTTCTCGGTGACGATCGATCCGATCTCTCCCTAGCTAGCGCTGGTGGATGAACTGGAGGTCCGGAGCTGCCGATGCGTTGGCGTCGCTGGATGTCTGCACTGCGAATGAAAGGACCGCTGCTTTATAGCAGTACTACCAGAGAGAGGAGCAGGTCAGCGCAAGGTGTGGCGTCTGACTTTGACTAGTCAGGCTGTTCATGTCAAGCTTGTGCGCGTATTTAACCAGTTCAAAGCTACGTAGGAGTATTGCTACCGAGCGTAGCTAGTTTTTTACTTGCTTCGTTCCGAATCATAAGTTTGCTTTGATTTTTTTTGTTTCATCTATTATGAACGTAGACATATTATTTTATTTATATATATAGTAAAATGAATTTAAAAAAATTAAAGTAATTTATAATTTAGAACGGAGGAGAAGTTTTGACCCGCTCAAGCTGCTGCCGTACATACAACCCCAACCGCAGCAGTCGTCAGGAATCTGGATGCGGTCAGAGCACCCATGCATGTGCCAATGGGGTGACTGAAACTGAACTTCATGTACAGTACATATTATACGTATATACTGCATGTCCAATAATTGCCTTCTTATTTCTGAAGACGAATTATCGTCCTCCGTTGAGAGTTAGTTACTGCAATTTTTCTAAGAATTATTATAAGTTTGCCATATAAGTATTTTTTTATTATATTTTACTTCCTTCCATATTGTAAGCTATCAGCACAAACCCAACTTTAGCGGTTAGCTGGCCGTACCTCTAGATAACTAAGGCCTTGTTCGGATGTAATCGGATTCGCATCAATCCATATGTGTGGATTGGAGTAGAACTTGAACTAAATTTTACCCCAAGACATGTTGATTGAGGTGAATCCGACAACATCCCAACAAGACCTAAAAGGATCTCCAATAGTCCCAGAAAATAATTACAGCTCGTTCGGCTGGTAGGCCCCGCACAGTGAATTTTGGATGATTCAATAGTGTTATGTGAGGGAGAATAAGCTGAAGCTAAAACAAGCGGGAAGTAGTACAGCCGAACGCGGTGTTAGTTTTTCAAGTCGCTAAAAACAGTGAGACTGTTTGTTAACTTTCTCCGACCATTTCTAATATCTCGCTCTTAAAAGATATATATAAGACAATTTTGCATCAAACTATTTTCGAATCACCCCAGTCATTTTTAATGCTTTCTTTCTCTCTTTTTTTATCTGTACTAGAACCCTATCCTTTCTCCTTATTCTTATCACGTTCTAATAATTCCATCTCTAGATTGACTGATTGGATACGTGTGTATTTTTCCGCGCATGATTTTTCATGTGCAGAAACATTAGGAGTTGAGATGGGGAATTATTACGGAGAGGTTCATTTTTCAATTTTTTGCAAAAAAAAAAAGATTAAGAGTAGTTTTTGAAAACTCTTGAAAATGCTCTAACATCTGTAAATCACGATGAGACCAACTTGCACGGCGGCGGCCGGCGTGAACTAGGTTTGGGTCCCGACAAGCGACAATGGTGATTAATGGTGGATTTTTACCCTCTCCTTCTCCGATTGAAACATTGGGAAGGCACACTGTATCTTGTCACTACAGCGCTTCATCTTTTTTCATTATCTATGTTCATATGCTCTTTTTCATAATTTTTGTTCTTAAGTTATGCACATATCTTTTATTGTGCAGAACAATCTACGGTAAAAAAAAAACAACAGCGATCGTTCAAGTTCAGAATCAGAATGTTGTTTAACACAGGACACCTCCGAATCTGATTATCTGATTTGAGTCTAACCACGCATAAAAAAAACTAGTAGCTGTGTTGCTGGTAATAATGCATGCATGCAGATGCAGTCCGATCTCCGACCAATCAATTGGTGGTTGGCTTGTCGTCGTTGTTAATCAATGTTTGCTCCCGCCATTGCCGCCGGATCCTTCCGCCGGCAGACCCGGCGGCGTCGGGCCTCGTGCTCGCGTCGCAAACGTCGGCGCCGCAGCACCATTGATCTTGTCACTGCCGTCGTCTTCCCTTGGCGGGCTGGCCGGGCGTCCCTTGGGTGATGACCAAAGAGCGCCGCCGCCTGCCCGCAGCTCGGGCGGCGCAACCTCATTGTCCACATGATGCAGAAGACCCGTGGCAGCGATGCTGTTGTTGTCGCCGTGCCCTGCTGCTTCGTCCTGATGATAGGACGAAGCGACCGCGACGGACTTCAGGCCTTTCGACGGCTGCATGCGGCCGGTAGAATAAGGCGAATGTTGGTACACCGTGCCCGGCCCGAGGCGGCAAGTGGATAACGACGACGGCGTGTAACGCGGGAGGTGAAGCGGGGAGGAGAGGGAAGATGAGGGCGCCATGGGGGCTAGATGGCTGGGCCTTTCGTTTGTCTGTTTTGGTCGAGATGCAGATGCCATTGTGGTGTTTGTGTACCTGCGTTGGTGGACGAATGGTTGGATACGAATAACCTGCCGATGGCGCACCGGTCTATGACGGTGTTTAAATTCAGGGCTAAAGTTTAGAGGTGTCACATCGGATGTTATATCGGGGTGTTATATGGGAGTGTTTGGATAGTAATAATAAATAGTCTATCTACCCAACAACCATGTGTTTTACGCAGTTTCAATATATGAATTTTTTTACACCATAGAATTAAGATGCAACAACCTCCATCCTCATTCTACCTCCAAATAATCACAAATTACAAGATCACAGATCTGTAGATCACAAGAAATATTTTTTTTGTATATAAGGATAAGAGGACAAATCGTGTCCAGCCACCAGACACCACACGCAAGTGCAGAAATTTTGGCGATGTCGGGCAAAGTTCACGAGGACTGGCAAACCGTCACGGGCCACACGGCAACCCAAGCCTGTGCAGAAATCGCTTCCAGGTCTGATCCACATACCACGACGCGCGGGCGCTTCGGAGACAGTTGAAAAGAGAGAGGAGAGGGAGAGAAAATCCATATGTTTTTTTATGTTAAAATACATGTATGTTGTATAATATTTCTGAATAATAAAATAAATTACAGAAGTCCTCAGTACTCCGCGAGACGAATTTATTAACCTTAAGTAACCCGTCATTAGCACATGTTTCTTGTAGCACCACATTGTCAAATCATGAATTAATTAGACTTAAAAATTTATCTCGCAAATTAGTAGCAATCCATGCAATTAGTTATTTTTAATCTATATTTAATATTTTATACATATGTCTAACACATGTGATGGGATAAGGACTAATTTTTTTAGGGGGAGAAGATCGATGGCCTGGAGCGGTGGGAGATCGAGGGGCGGACAACGGAACCGGACAACAGGATTGGGGATGTTTGACTTCTGCATTGCACTTGCACGTGTGTTCTCACAGAGGTCAATTCGTTCAAGATTGTGCTTGAATTCTGCGTGCCAGGTCTCACCAATTCAAAAACACGGGCTAGCTGACCTAGTACCGAAAGGACTGGGCAACATACACATCACTGATGTGTGCACGTCTCGCGCACGGGCACATCATCGACTTGTCGTAGGTTAATATAGTCAGCATCTGTGCTCCGCAGCAATTTGTAGGACGAGTAGTTGTCCATCAGTATGCTTTATCTTGTTTGACGAGGTAGCTTATATCCATGAGTTATATTATTTTTACTAAATCAAATAAATTTCATGCCCATAATAAATGTTATTATAGGATTAATCTCGTTTGGAAAATTGACTTAACGTATATAGGTATTCCCTCAGTTCCAATCTATAGGTAGTTTTGTTTTAATTTTTTAGATATACAATATCGACAGAATATCGTTGACAGTCCTTCGTGGGGTATCCCACGAAAGTAGATTGATCGCAGAGAAGCGTGTGATCAAGAACAAGAAGGCAACAGAGACACACGAGTTAGACATGTTCAGGCCGTCAGTATGACGTAATACCCTACTCCTGTGGTCTGTTGGTTTGTATTAGCTATTGTATGATATTGCGTGTATTTGGAGGAAGTCCCTGCCCGCCTTATATAGTCCGGGGAGCAGGGTTACAAGTCGGTTAAATCTGAGAGATAACCGAAAAGTAATAACTGATTACTGGAATTTTGGGATCATACATATCCTAACAGATCGCGTAGTATCTTCAGGATATCTTCCAGATGTCTTGCGGGAGGCGCCGAGCAGAGTCATGCCCCGCAAGGCTTCATCTTGTGGGCTGGGCCGCCCTTGAGGGCGCAACCCATGTGATCTGCCGTGGGTATCTGGGGTCGTACCCCCCTGAGCTAGTCCCCGAGCGCCTTGTACCTATTGTGCAACGCCGTCTTGAGCTTGTCCGAGCAGGTGTGAACACGGCCGAGCAGTCAAACTCATGGTCCGACCACCATGATGAGTTGCCGAGCAGCGTGAACTGTCGCCGAGCAGTGTGAACCAAATACGGCTTTCCATAAGGGTGTAAGGAGCTCAAGTTCAGAATAAAAAATTTCTTCACAGTGGACCAAGTGTGCCCACTTAGAGTCCGACCACGAGAAAAGGTGATAATCTTCTTCAGCTTCAAAAGGCGCAGAGTCTTCCAGAATTAAGCAAACACATTTACCGTAGGTGAAATGTGCCCACTTAGTCCCCGAGCTTGATAGTAGATGACGTAGTCATATGGTGCCAGGGTCCAAAGTAGAAGAAAAATAAAAGACTAGCCGAGCAGGCAATCAGTCCCCGTGCGTAGCCCCGAAAAGCACATTCACCGCAAGGTGAAGTGTGCCCACTTAGTCCCCGAGCCTGACAGTAGGTAACATAGTGACGTGGTGCCAGGGTCAGAAACAACAGTCAACTGGAGAAAAATCCCTAGTGCGGTGATGAACCGAGACGTAATGCTAACGCAGTCCCCAAGACACAAGAGGGAAAACCTAGAGATAACAGAACCATGGAGAAAATACTAGAGTAATGGCTGTACAGTAGTAATTACCGAGCCGTAACGGTTGGCGGAGATGTCGGTGAATTTTCGGCGAGTAATAACCAATTGCGGTGATAAATCAGCAACATGGGCCGAGGGCTGCGCGAAGGCTAGGTAACGGCCCACCTTTTGTTACGGAGAACTCGGAGAAGCACAAATCGCGGGAACAGTTTCCCAAAAACCCTCGAATGCGAAAAGGTGGGGGGAGTGCTTTATAACTGCGCTACCACACCCCGCGCCCTTGCCACTTTGCCATTTCATCTTCCTCCTCAGCCCTCGCTCTTCTAGATTCACATCCATACTTGCTTCCACCGCCAAACCCTAACTAGATCTAAGAGATGGCGCCGAAGAAGGGAGCTACGAAACCAAAGAAGACAAGCCCTCAGAAGGCAAGCGCCGAAGTCCGGCGTGACGAAGAGTGGGCGCCGTCACGAATGGGAGAGGCAGAGCTCATCAGACTTGTGGAGGCGGGCGTTCTGCCTGACCACGTCACCGTCGGATGGCGACCGGCCCTTGGTGAGCCCTTCCCCATGCCCCATACCGACGAAGTGGTGGTATTTGAGGACTATTTCTGGCACGGTTTGGGATTTTCTATTCATCCATTCCTGAGGGATCTGTTGGAGCCCTAGGTGGTTAGTCTGTGCAACCTCCACCCAAATACCATATTGCATATATCCATCTTCATCTATTTCTGTGAGGCGTATCTTGGAATCCTTCCACACTTCAATCTCTTCCGTCACCTGTTTTGGTTGAAGAAGAGGGGCGACGGTGGTTCAAAGGTGGTCGGCGGGGTATATCTTCAGTTGCGCGATGGAATGGCAGGGGAATACCTTACTATTTCGCTAAACACATCGCTGAAGGGGTGGAACACCAGGTGGTTCTACATGAAGCAGAGCCACCCTGCAGTCCGCTGCGACGCTGACCACATACCGGAGAGCCAGAGGAGCTGGTCGAAGACGCCAAACAGCGCTGACATGGAGCAAGTGAAGGAGCTCCTTGGCTTGATAAAGGGCGTGAAGACCAATGGTGGATTAGTGGCGGCAAGCTTTATAGTGCGCCGTATCCTGCCCTGCAAGAAGAGGGCCCACCCCACCTTTGAGTTCAAGGGGGAGACCGACAGTACTCGAGAGAGGTCGGAGATGCTGTCAAGGGATGTTGTGTAGGAGCGGGCATAGAGCTATTCGCTCCACTTGCCTCATTCAACTTGCCAGGGCAGACAAAACCCTTTCACTGCAGAAATCTGCCTCCTCAGGTAAATATCTCAGTTGTATGTTCCTGATGCTTTTTAAATTTTGTCATTTCGGAGCATTGGACCGATTCACTTATGTGAAGATCCACTCGCAGGATAGGGCGGTGTACTTCTCGGGCGTGCCAAGGAGCCAATGGCCGAAGGGAGTAGACGCCCGGCCACCGCCGCAGCCTGAGGAGGAGGCAGTTAGCATCTCGTCGGAGAGTCCATCCCCGGTGTCGGAGAAAATCCAGGGGAAAAGGGCAGTGGCAGACGAGCCGGCCCGGAAGGAGAGAAAGATGGCGGGCGCCGCTCCCCTCAAACCAGGCGGCATCTCGCTTGGTGGTGACCAGACCACTTGAACGCGAAGGACCGCGGTATTCGAGTGGTCGGATGACGACGAAGTTCCGGCTGCTCCTCCACCGAGCACGAAGGCGCCGCCAAGCAGTGCGCGCATGGAGGAATGGTCGATGGGAGGGGAGGAAGTTCCCCAACAACGGGCGATGGGAGTCCCCGAGCAGCAGGTAGGGGGAGCCCCTGAGCGACAGGCGGAGGAAGTCCCTGAGCAGCGGGCGAGGGGAGCCCTAGAGCGGCGGGCGGAGGAAAGGCTGATGGCAGAGACCATGGGACCTCCACCCCAAGACACAGGCGTCGACCCTAAAGCCATGGCTAGGGGTTCGGGCAGGCACCGCCGGTTCAAGAAATTATACCGGCAGACCAAACCGTAAGTATCCTTGTCTTGGAGTTATTTTGCCGTCGTTGCTTAGTTTATTTGGCGACTGACAAGCCAATCTGATGCAGAGCGAAGCGTACGGAGGATCCTTCCCTACCCATCTAGACTGATGAGTAGCCGAAGACTGGCCCTAGGGTGGATGAGATGCCGATGGACCCCATTCCGGAGTCCCTGGGTGCTCGGCAGCCTGCGGAGGAAACAACCGCCCCTTCTGCTGGACTTGACGACAAAGAATGGTTGGCATCGATGGCAGATGGGTCGACGACAGTGCATGAGGCAATGGCGGGAAACGTCGGGTCCTCAGGAGCAAAGGCTGGAGTTGCCGGCGTCACGCCGAAACCTGGAGCGGAGAAGTTTGCGGTGCCGGAGGGGCAGTCGGCGCTCCCTAAGGCATCGAAGGGCATGGTCGGACACGCTATCTGGCCACCGAGTCCCGAGGTGGTTCCTCCAACTGTGGCGGAGGAGGACGAGGTGGAGGAGAT